GATGTCAAAGAAGTCTGTGCTGGTGATGTCAATGATTACTGGACGGCTGCTGGTGTTGACAATCTGCTTGAGGCCCTCAAGTCCATGACTTCTGAGCGGTGGCTTAGTGATGTAGATATCGAAGGGCTCCCGCAGCCGATTGAGACCCTCCGTGAATTTACAGCCACAGTCCATGCTCTGAACTGGGCTGAACTGCTCCCTGCTAGGACGCGGCACGTGACCCGTGATGACACCTCTGTAACCCTGGGCGATACTTGGGAAGCTGCATGGGATTGTCCCAGTGAGGTTGTCGGATATGCAGCCGTGCGTGGAGACTTCTGGAGTGTTTTGCCTGCTCCGCTACAGGTGGCATGGGATCTCATCCTTGATGGATGCTCCCCTCTCGTACAGGCCCCTGCTAGCTTTAAGGAACACCCTCTTGCAAGACCCTACACGTTGTGTGGGGCACGATTTGCACCCTAATTAAGCTGCGAACCTACCTCTGACAGCCCGCAAAGCAAAATATATATATGTGTGTGTGTGTGTGTGTGTCTGTGCGTGCATTGTCTAAGTGTGTACATACATAATACATAAATGTACACATGTCGAGCATGTTCTCCGCTCCTGTATCTAATGCCTGTGTCCTGCTGCTCCTCTTGTTTGTACCAGTAGGTCTGTCGTTGCAGGACAAGCCTGTTGCTCCGTCGTGCGCGTCTCATACTCGGACCTGTGTTGCGGGGAACGGCTGTTGCCGACTGTACCCGTCATCCGCCCCCTGCCAGAGACAGAAAGGCCTGAGCGGATGCAGGATTTCCGCGGAAAGCCCAGTGGAGCTCGGTGGTTTCGCAAGGCGTGATACTTCTATAAGCACACGCTTCCCTCCAGTTCCCCCTGCTCTTGTGAGCTGCTTGCGCGGCAAAGGATGGCTGGCTGACAAAGCTGCGTTCATTGCAGGAACATAATAAAAGCAGATGACAGCAATGGGTCGTCATTGCAGTATAAACAGGTATAACGCCATGCACGAACAGAAGACAACATCTTCGCATTCGTGACTCGTCATTGAGCTTGCAAAAGCAGGACCTCGCGGAATATGTTTTCAGATGCGTAGTTATGACGACGTCGATCACGACAGCAGACTGCCAGGGAGCTTATATTCTCTGTGCAGCTAGATAGGTGTACAAGCGTGCATGCATACACGCTGCATATGCTGTAAGAGCATACGAACTGACACACATCAGGTATCGGTAACTTGATCGGAGTGCTCGCGCACGGGTGCTTGAACTGAGGCAAGATCTTCAAGAGCCCGAACGCTGCAACTCTGCCACCAAAAGGGTTTTGGATTTGCGCTCGGGTCCCTAAATCCAGGCCCTTCTTTCACCTTGAACCGCCTTCTTGCCTAAGTGTGACCTAAAGTAGTTCCTGAAGCACGTGGTCAGTAAAGTCACATCAAAAGGTTCAGCATCTTGGGGCCTTGCCGTCAGCATCCTATCTGCTTTTGCGACGCCGCCAGGGCGTTCAGGTCTTGCAAAGCTCATGCTTAGGGTCTGCGGGGTCAGCAGAACCATAGATAAGCAAGGGCCGTAGCAGCAATAGAAAGTCATTCTGGCTCTGGATCCATGATTGCGACGATAAGTCATCCCAAATAGGTTACCTTATAAAGATCCTACTTCCGGGGTCGACCTACCTATTGTCTGTCCTGTCCTGTCCTGTCCTGTCGCGTCTTGTCGTCTCGTCTGTCTTCTTATCCATCGATCCATCCATCCATCCATCCATCTATCTGACAAGATACACCTAGGTACCTATGAAGGTATGTTTAGCGAATCGAAGCCTCCTAGGCAATCGCTCCACACGAGAGCTAACTTGCGCGATGCTATCCTTCTATCAAATCACAATCCTGTCATGCAGATTCCGTTTTCCGACTCGGCCAGGAAAAAGAACTTACGAATAACCTCATGCAAGCACATTGAACTTCATGAGCATCCCGATGTGTTGCTGGGCTATGAACACCCATCCTGATTTGCTATTGCGGCGTGCTTCCTCAAACGAGTTAGCGTAGAACAGACGCCACAAGCTTCCCGCGTCGGGATGATCTAGGCCTAGGCCCTAGAGTGTAACGCCGCAGGGTAGCTTTCGGACACTGCAGCGAGCCTTCACCGAGGATTTGGTCGACAAGCAAGTTGCGCAGAGGCCGGTCACCATGTGCGTTCTGGGAACGACGACAGAAGAAATAGACCGTGACAAGCGAACCAATCTACGGACTGAGAGAAAAGTAAATAAACCCTAAAGCTCTGGAATGTACACCCTAAACCCTGGCTGCGGGCTGTGAGAAACAATGCAGATTCGCACAGGATTTTGGAAGTTGTGCGACTTCAACTCACCTCTGAGCACCATGCTGACTATGCTTGCACTTCCAGCACTCGTGTAGGGTTTAGGGTCGAGGGTGCCGGTCCAACTCGTTGACGTAGAAGTTCGGGTCAGCATAGCATGTTCTATAGTCTGAGCTCACGAGCATGTTGTCATCTTGCATAGACCGTCCATCGTTTCACGATAGCACGCCCCGCATGAAAGTATGATATGCAACACGCAGAGGAAGTATGACTCCTGGCTTTTGTGCGTGCTGACCTCCTCTACATGCGCGCTTGAGTGCTTCAAGGCTGTTCGAGAAGGGTTTCAATCCATCTTGTGCCCGGAGGAACGAGAAGAAGCCTGCCCGGGATGTCTCTGCTCTCTCGCTGGCCGTTTGGCGGCAGTACAAAGCCCATGAACGGGGACGGAAGCCCGGGAATGGAATTTGTTCGGGGTCTCAAGGCTTGTAGAGCGAAGAGACGCGCAAATTACAGGGGCTGCACTTCCTCAACTCTGTCGCATCTGGGACGCTTCCGACGACGAACGACAACTGCTGCGGGGAGGAAGACGACTACTCTACTACTACTGCTCCTACTGCTATTGCTGTTATTAATATTATTACTGATTATGTTTTACTGTGATATTCTTCTTGTTATTCGTAATTTATTATTACTCCCACTCCAACTCCCACTGCCGCTGCCATTGCCACTTCTACTACTACTCCTGCTCCGGCTCCTGCTCCTGCTGCTGCTGCTGCTTAACTACTACTGCTACGACGACTACTGCTGCTACTACTACTACTACTACTACTACTACTACTCCTGCTACTTCTACTACTGCTACGACCACGACGACGACGACTACTACTATTGCAGCCACAAACATTTCGCGCGAAAGTGAAGGCGAATGTCCCGCGAAAGCAGAACAAATATCCGCGAAGAAGTCCATTTCCAGTTCCAGAAGAGGGAATAAAACAAGTACAAACGCGTTTAACGCTCATGTTTTCGAACCTGAGAGACGGAAGTTCTGGGGTGCTTCTGAGGCAACGACGACGGCTGATGCTTCGACCGAGGCGCCTACGTCGTCTTCAGTGCTTAGAGGATTCTGGTGGGTGAAGACGGCACGACTGGCACGATAAGATTGTAAAAGCGAGTCCAGGTGTGGAGTTCCGTGCGAGTTCGCCACTCGAGTTCTTTATTGCTCACAGGATTACGATTTCTCTTGCGTTTCCCCAACCTTTGTTGTCCGGATGTTAAAAGTGGGGGCTGGCAAGTGTGAGCACGGTGAAGCCGTCTAGTGTATAGACTGTATAGAGTTGAAGATCCGGGTCCAGAATTTGGGTTGCGGCTCAACACAAGTCTGGGTTCCACAGGTAATCCAGTAGTGGAGTTGAGGGCTAAATTGGGTACTAAGGGTTCGTTCTTAGACAGCCGTACCCTGAGATTTGTTAGACCGACCGTGCACCCTGAACCCCAGACCGCACACCCAAAGCCGCTAGCATGTCGAAACTAGATCGGACAAGATACTCACTGAGTATCGCGTGTGCATTGAAATCCAGGAACACGCAATGCCCTTTGATATTTAGAGACCGAGCGGAGATCTTGTCACAAGCTCACGATATTCGGAGGCAGAGGTTCTTGTTAAGGGCATTGGTTCCTGTCTTGCTTCTATTCGTGGGGTCACACGCAGGGACACAACACATGTACCAAATAATCCACTTTTGCAGCGGGTGCTTGGAATTCACGTATCCCAGCTAGTGACAGCATTCAAGATCACCTTGGGGGGACGATGCTTGCGATCTGAGGTGGGCCAAGCTTGCTTTAAACTCTAAACCCAAGGGGACGGTATCGCAGATTTGAGTCTTTCGAAATGCATACTGTCCAGATGATGCTTGGGATTTTTGTTGGAAGGAAAGGTGTGCCAACATTCTTTTTGGTTGGGGTGAAAATCTTACGGGGGCGATGCCAGCGAGATGGGTTGTGCATGGTTGTGCATCTTCCAAGATCGTATATGAACGCGTGCGATTCGCACTTGCAAAATAAAGCTTGTCCCACCGTGGGGTAGTCAGCAGGCTTGACGAAGAACCAGACTCCAGGAGCAACCGCAGATCAGGATTCTCGGATGAAGGCTTTGAGGCCACTGAAGCCCAGGCACTGTTGTATATCAGATTCCCTGCGTCCTTTGACCACATTGATGTACCAAAGCTGACTCCATGAACAAAGATGTGGGCAGGCCCCAGCCACTCCGTCGGATCTTTCGGACTCAATGACTCCTACCAGCACTTCAGCAGAACAGGCCGGGGCCTGAGCCATGAAACAGCTTTGCGCTGACAGCCCTACACCTGCATGAACCTCCCAAGTGGACGGGGGCGGCATTGGATGACGACAGGAAGGGGCCACCTAGCCTTGCCTAATCTCTCCGATCCAGTTTCCGCGCGCTATACGATTATACGTAAGTACCTGGAGGCGCAGCCAAGTTTTTCAAAGCAATAGTCTAACAGTGCAGCCGATGGGGTGTAACTGGAGGCTTCCAGACAGCAGCTTGCAGGGACGCGGTAGGGCAGTAGGGTCTGACAAATTCGCAGCAGTATTGTTCCTTCACAGGCCCATTGGCTTCTGTACATACAACATGATCATCCCCCAAATCCTATCGTCATCATGAAGGCCCCTGTAAACATGATCACGTCACGGCGGCATATAGCCACAGAGGTGCCTTCAACGAACTTCGTGCAGGCCGGCGGAAACGGAATTTATGGGCCGATGGGAGATCAGGTTGAGGCTTTGAGTCAGTTCAGCCCTAACATCTACGAACAGGTGATGGTGTCTCGTGATTTTGCAAACTCGGGGCAGGTTCGGCAGCTCTGTGTACATCCCTGTCCTTTCTGGACCCAGACCTTCTTTGGAAGCTTATAACCACCGAGTTTCAGCCGGCAGAGGCCATGAGGATCACTGCACCATCTGGATTCTATCATACCAGCTTCCATCGCTGAAGCCCCACTGGCCCTCGCCAGGTTCGACGGCAGTTGCTTGCGTACCGGAGTCAGGCTCGTGCTCTCGTGCCCGGCATCGGCATAGTAAGGAGACCTGGTTACCAAGACCTGGCTGAGGATACTGCGAGTTGCGTAGACTCCACAAGTTGTCCATTGCGGGGGTGAACCCTGGAAGGTGTCGAAGGATGATGTGCCCGAGTATGTCGTGGAGGTGGCCCCCGTGCCAGTGGGGACCCCGGCAGTTCAGTGCACAAGCTTCATAGCAATTTCTGAAAGTTGACGTCCTGTTGGGGGGTCGTTGTAGTCCGGGAAACTTCCGCTGCAGAGGTCCCTGCTCGATCCGTCAAGGGACCCTCGCGGAATCGCGTCAAACCCCAATAGGGCTTCGAAACTTGAAACTTGCAATCAGGCGCCCCAACTCCGGACCTGCTGCTCCCATCCCCACTCCTCCATATCAGCCTTGTTGCTCTTCTTGTTACCGCTGTTGTTGTCATTGTTATGCTTGTTATTTGTACCATTACTATAATGATTATTGCAGTGTTCATTGCGGTGTGTCTTCGAGGTTCCTGTGCCACCGTCGATGCTCGGCCGGTGTTTGGCGTTCGCGTGCGGCCGGATGGCTTTCAGTGTGCTGAGATTAGGGTAGTTCGTCAGGCTTCCCAAAGCCCAAGAAGCGAATACAGATTATATATATGTATACATATATATATATATATATATACATATATACATATATACATATATATGTGTGTATACATACATATACACATATATGCATACGTACGTACACACACATATATATATATATATATATATACATACATGCATACATCGCGGGATAGATAGATAAATAGATAAGTAGACAGATAGATAAGATGCATATATATATATATATATACATGTATATGTATATGTATTTGTATTTGTATTTGTAGGTGTATTTGTATTTGTATTTGTATGTGTATATGTATATGTATATGTATATATGTATATGTATATGTATAACTGTATCACGAAGCCATGACCAGGATCACTAAAACGTAAGGTTTTGAGGGTTTAGGCTTATGCGATTTACCTTCGAAGAGGGCTCTGGGGTTTACCCCAGTCGGATTGGGTGATCGCAACAGAGAAGTAGTTCGGAAACCATTGGACCCTGCCTGAATCCGTGGCTAAAGGGGTCAGGGTCATAAAACCGGCAGGATTGGGTTAAGTGGAGGAAGGTGGTCTTGGGCTCTATCGCCTGTGTCAGCGAGGCCATTGGGGGCGGTAGTATGCATCTGAATGAGTGGGTCCCTCGGCTTCGTCCGCCGGAAGCCAGCCTGCGCCTGCGCAATGACCACAATTTTCGAAAATGCATGGCCACCACTACGCTGAACGACACCCAAATCAACGTCTGAATTTAAACCATGAACACCACACCGGCTAAACTTGACAAAACCCTCAAGTTCGAAGCCTGTCCATCACGAGGAAAGACGCAGGCCTGCCATTCCGTCAGCAATCTGAGCCGATTGTGACGAGCAAGAGCTGCTTAGCAAGAGATTTGGAAGCATTCTTTTGCCTTGGTTGGTTTAGGGTTTCGAGTTTAAGGTATGTCGACTTGAGATCTTGGGGTTTAATACTTTTCATAGTAGCAATGAACAACGACTAACCAGGAGAAAGGTGACAAGAATCTACTGTGCATGATGGTATCCGTCATTCACACAATCATTACCAGCACCATCAACAGCATCCTCCCCACCTTCGGCGTCGAGGTCAATGGTAGCTTGCAGAACACTTGCGTCGAATACCATTGGGCCTACCGGGAGCCAGAGACCCATAATTAGAATGGGAATAAGGGGGCCCATAATTCTACTATTCCCAAAATAGTATAGGTAATTATATTACTATAATTCTCAAAATAGTCTGGGTAATCATGTTACTATGATGCCCAAAAGAGAGAGAGAGAGAGAGAGAGAGAGAGAGAGAGAGAGAGAGAGAGAGAGAGAGAGAGAGAGAGAGAGAGAGAGAGAGAGAGAGAGAGAGAGAGAGAGAGAGATATATATATATATATAGGTGATTATATCAGCTCAGCCCAGCGCCTCGCTCTGCGAGGCTCGTCTTCCATGATGCGGCGTCAGATGTCTGCGCAGGTCGAGAGGCCGACCCCGTGTAGAGGGAGTCATAGGGTTTTGAAGTCCGGGTTGGGCCTTCGTCCTTCGTTGATTCAAGGCCTCGGGTCAGCAGAAGGGTTTCGAGTGGAGGAAGATGACCAAACTTCGCCTATATCTAGGAGAAACTCTTTGGATTCGGACTCTGGTCTTCTTCGAGTTTCGGGAGTGGCTGCTGGCAGCCTGCGGCGCAAGGCCCCCTCCGAAGAAAGCCGCGCCCCTCGTTGTCTCTGCCAATGCCTGGCGTCCGGCGGCCAAGCTGCTCGGCCACGTTTCAGCCATAGCGGTGGCGCCGGGGCCTAGGGTAACCGATGGTAACCGTGAGCCATAGACTATAACTTTCGACCCTAACCTAAAGTAATCCTTGACATCCCACGTTGGACAGGAAGTCTCCGGAGGACGACCTCAAGCGCCAGGTGCAAGGTGCGACCGGCGTCCCAAACTCTCGGTGTTCTGTCAGAGTAGGATCCTGTACTGGCGTCTTGGGAATCCAGACTACAGAAAGTCTCGATGGCTAGTAAAGGCGTTGTGAGGCTTACATTAGTTTAAGCTGACTCGGTGCGACGGTGGTAGTAGCAGTGGCAGCGGGATTCGGAGGAGGAGGAGAAGTAGCCGTCGTCGTCGTCGTAGTCGTAGTGGTAGTAGTAGTTGTAGTAGTAGAAGAGAAGGAGAAGTAGTAGTAGTAGTAGTAGTAGTAGTAGTAGTAGTAGTAGTAGTAGTAGTAGTAGTAGTAGTAGTAGTAGTAGTAGTAGTAGTAGTGATAGTAGTAGTGTTAGCAGTAGTAGTAAAGAAGGAGTAGCAGTGGCCGTAGCAGTGACAGTGGCAGTGGCAGTAGCTCGTCGTCGTGGTGGTGGTAGCAGCAGTAGCCGTCGTCGTGGTGGTGGCAGCAGTGGAGCAGTAGTAGCAGGAGCAGCAGTCGTCGTCGTCGCCGCGGACGCTTCAAAGCCAGCATTGTCGCACAACGCTTAGACAGAACATTCGTGCTGTCGGCCTTGGTCACACGTTCCCTGTGGGCCACCTCGCCATCGTACACAACGTGTTCCCAGTGCACCCGTTGGTTAACCTGAATAAGCAATCTCTCTCCTAGTGCCGAGCTATTATGGCACTACCAGCCTTGGCACTTCAGAAGAACTCGACTAGTACGAGTAGTAGGGCTGGCAGTCGTGAGCGAGCACACTCAATCATATCGACACATCAACGCTTTACGGCGAAATGCGCCCAGCAAAACTGCCAGCAGCATGCATAGCCGCACAGGCTAAGCAGGTGTTCACATGAGACCAACCGCCAATGACCATCAATGATGTGCAGCTAGCACCTCGCTGCCAGGCTTGCTCAACAAGATTTGCCCGGAAAACGTCGCCTCCATCATCGAGAAGATTGCGGCCATCGAGGTCCAGGACATCAAGCAATTGGAGGTGGGAAATCCGCGAAGAACTGTAGGCTTGGATAGTAGAGCCGATCGACGCTTTCGATGTCAAGCTTTGCTCAAAAAGAGGTTTGCACGAGCCTATGCTCGCCAGTAGGTCCGATTAATGCTACATGCTGGACAGGCCATCATCGAGCTTATGTTCAAGAAGGCCAGGTGCCGTGATTCCTTCAATAGGTCAGCCGCTGATTTGGGAGCGGGAGGGTGCTAGTCTGGTACTCTCGATGGCACTGCTCAGCCTAAGCCTTTGTGGGGTGATCGAGAGCCTGTGGGAAAACTGTTCGCACTTCTCTTTCCGAGCTTCCCGGCCGAAACCCTCTTACCCGCAATCCCCAAATGCCGTGGCCAGGCAATCACGGAACCCCACTACTGTGAGACCTATGCGGACATGGTCTTCAGTCTCAAGGTGGCGTTTTGCTGGGCCAGGGGCATTGTTAGATGAACGCATCTTGATGTTCACGCCTGTGCTCTTCTCGGTGTGTTTTGCAACCGTGGGAATTAGCATCGCTTTCGGTGCCGTGGATGTGTGGTGGGGATTCTTCGGGCGTTTCCCTACCCCTTGCACTGGCTGATTGTCATGAGTGGGAGTGGGAGGGAGGCATCCTTGACACCTCTCCTTTGCCGGCGGCTTTCGGACTTTTTCCTTCGGGAGGTTTCGGTAATTTTCTGGCTGAGGAGCCTGTACGAGTCTCGCCGTGCACTCGTCCTCCGCGTGCACCCGTCGGCCATGGTCTGTCGTCGATTTACGTGTGTGTGTGTGTGTGTGTGTGTGTGTGTGTGTCCACCCCTGTTTCGAAGGGTAGGTAAATCTGAGTCGAATGAGCAGGGGGCCCGGAGAGCCCGAGTGAGGTCCGGGCCAACGAAGACCCTCACTCGGTGCTCGTGTAAACGTACCTGCAAATCAGTAACCCTAGAGCGCTTCAGATCACAGGTTCTGACTTCTCCTGACAGCTTTCGGCAATATGCACTGACTTATCAGACCTGCGACACGATGTGTCAAGTGTGCTTCACAACGGCATTCCCTATGGGCGCCGTGTCTCCCAGAGGTAGCTCTGGCGCTGACTTTCCCGATTGACTGCATAAGCATTGGATGACTTTCCTTGACTTTATATCCATGCTTGCAAGCTGACTTTCTCAGTGAGTCTTTCCCAAATGCCTTCACCGAAACCTGAACGCTGACTTTCCCATTGACTTTCTTATGATCTGATTGACTTTCCCGAGCCTGACTTCACCGCTGACTTGTCGCAGGTCTTCGGCTGCAAGTTGAGTACATGAGCTGTACTTTTGGTAGTTGCTGATCAATTTGCTACGCGCTTTCAGTCATCTGTTTTGCAATGAGCCTGGAGACCCGTAACCTAGAGTGACGGTTTGTATGCTTTCAGTCATCTGTCTTGCGATGCGCTGTACATGCGATAAACTTTGCAGGGGCAGTGCAAGTGAGTGCGTGTCGTCGTGCAAGTATTGTGCAAGTGTCAGTTTTGCAAACGTTTTTCTTCTGTGGTGAATGCGTGCATGCCTACATGCGTTCGGAGTGCGCATCTCGCTGCTTTACTACATTGCAAGTGTCGTGCTGGTGGAGCGAGCTGTGGTTTCTGGTGGCCCGGTGGAGCATTGGAGCTGCTGGTGGTGGAGCTTTGGTTCCTGGTGGTCTGGTGGCGATCTGGACAAGTGAGTGCGCATTGTCATGCAAGTGCTGGGCAAGTGATTGCATTGTCATGCATGTGTTATGTTCGTGAGTGCTTCCTGTCAGTAAGTTCGAAAGAGCATGTGTATGTCAACCGGTGTTTCGAACGGATGCAATGAGCCCGGGAGGGCTTGTGTGTGTCCACCCCTGTTTCGAAGGGTAGGTAAATCTGAGTCGAATGAGCAGGGGGCCCGGAGAGCCCGAGTGAGGTCCGGGCCAACGAAGACCCTCATTCGGTGCTCGTGTAAACGTACCTGCAAATCAGTAACCCTAGAGCGCTTCAGATCACAGGTTCTGACTTCTCCTGACAGCTTTCGGCAATATGCACTGACTTATCAGACCTGCGACACGATGTGTCAAGTGTGTGTGCGCGTGCATGTATGCCTGCATGGAATGCATGCACGCATTGCTCGGGGATGGCATGGCATGGCATGGCTGGCTGGATGGATGGATGGACGGAGGGATGGATGGATGGATGTGTTTATGTCGGCATGTAAGTAGGTGTGTGTTTATGTCAGCATTCAAGTAGTAGGGTAGGTAGGTCCAGCGAGGTATGCAAGTTTGATGTGTGTATGTTTTCTCCAGTTCTCTCGTTCTCTCTCCCTCTCCCTCTCTCCCTCAATATACATAGACATGGGTATTACGCGTATGTACATTGGGGACTCAGACTATCCTAGTAGCGGCACCTTTCCGAAGCACCTTTACCGGAGCTTTCAACAAACAAGGAGCTCCGGGAGTTCTGCTCTCTTCGTATTGCATGCGCAGGCTGTGTACCCCTCGTTCCCATCACCGGATGGCGGCAAGCCGATCACGTTCAAGGGGCTGGTCCTCAATATCTGCTGCTGGGTGCGAAATTGCAAACGTCCTTCTAACATCGAATTGGGAAGGGCTCCAAGGGGCATGTGAACAAGCTGCGCCGGCTTTGGAACATTGCCGAACTCAACAAGCCCCCAAGTTCCGAAAGTACAAGTTCCAATAGCTTCTCTTGCAAGGTCAAAATGAGTTTGAGGAGCTGCTTGCGTCCAACGACATCAGCGCAGAGCAGCTGCTTGGCTTTGCCGTTGTATTTTTCTGCTTATTGATGCATGGACTTGGTTTTCTCAGGTTCTTCGTTCTTTTCTTGCATTTAGTTGATTGTAGCCCATGGAGATCGATCGTGCTATTCCAGTGCCCCGCCTGTGGCTATTACGCTTGCGAGACTGACTTCCTTGATTGCGCCGATGATGGCGGCAGGTTTGCGACTGCCAAGATTAGCGTTGTGAGCGAGTAGGAGCCCTACACACCGAATCCCTATATGGTAACTGACCCTTCAAGCCTGCGACGGTACATAATATAGGGGCCCAAATAATTACCAATACTATTTTGGCGGTTCCTTTTTGTATTTATATAGTATAATGACCCCCCCAAAACCCGATTCTAATTTTTAATTATTCAGGCCCTATGTTACGACTGCTCTTCAGGAAGGCCAAGCTTGATGAAGAGGAGCTCGAGTACATGCGCAAGAAGCGCAAGGCTTGAGCCTCCACCCTTTTGTCGAAGCCCAGTGTTCCCAGCGTTACTACAAAAGTATACGGTTACGGTTTAGGAGCCGTAGCGGTGAGAATAGGGTTTATTGACAGGTTGGAGGATTTAGCATTTAGGGTTTTGCCAGGTTGTTCGAAAGGGGCATGGGAGACACTGACCGGCTTTGTTTTCATGGGCGGTTTGGGGGAGGGGGGGGCGGGGGGAGAGCAGAGGACTCACTCGACTTGCCCTCGAGCCCTCCTGTGACTGGGATCAATAACAGCAGTAGTAACAGTCGCTAATAAGTATCCATCATCATCACCATCATCATCACCATCATCAGTCTCATCAGAACATACATATGTATGTGCACGTGTACATATACATTTTTTGCCCATATATACATAGGTACGTGTGTTTGCAAGCTTGCGGCATTGGCAAGATTGCCAGGACCGCATGCGCGCGAACATGAAGTTCATTGGCCACCTGTTCCTGCGTCAGCTGCTGTCCGCCAAGGCGGGCAACTTCCCAACGTGCACAGATAAGATGACAAGTGACAACTGCCGTCAGGACTTCATGACCGTGTTTGCTTGTTTGTTCTTCGCAGCAGCAGCAAGTAAGGAATGGCACGAGCGTCATATCAAAAGATTGGAGAAAGGAGAAGTGTCAGTACACGATTGAAAAAAGGCAGTGCACTCAGCCTGCATGTTAATGCCAACTGAACGCTGACCCTGTTCAACTCTGTGTTGCCCGATCGTTCATACTCGGCGGACCGAATCGCACAGGTGATCGGAAGCGTCATTTGTGGCTTGGCAAGCTAGCGGTGAGGCGTTCAGGCTTGGGTGAAAGGGCTTGGCTCTGCATGGAGCAGTAAGTTACTATAGTAGACTAGACTTTACTGTACTGTGCCATACTATACTTAACCGTACTCGATGATGTTTTGCCCTGATTGGCACTTGCAGACGTTTGTCGAGGCGAGCTGGTGCTCTGTGAGCAGGTGGATGACCTCCCAGAGGACACTTCGAGAACCGTGACGGGTTGTACCTGTGACACAACAGACCTACCTTATTAAGGAAATACATATATATATATATATATATATATATATATATATATTTATTTATAGAGAAACCATCATAAGGAACCCTGAAAAGGTAGGTCTTCTCGGCTACAGGTAGAAGTTTTGCATTTGGCGAACAGTTCAAGCAACAAGGGGTACGCGTATGAGTAAGGCTCTAGGACAAGCTTCCTGCTTAGCTTGGGACTTGGCAGCTTGGGGTTTGCAGATGAGCGTGAAGGGCTCAACTATGCGAGCAACAAGCAGTTCGTAGTATGGGTTCTTGTTAAGCATTTTTTTGAATTGAAGTTACCACAGTAACGCAACCCTGGTTTTTGTCTATAGATCCCTATCGTGGTAACTGAATTAAGTTCCTTGACGAGAGCCCGTCGTAAGCTTGCAGTTTGTCCTGCACTCCATTGCAGGAGCATGCGCTGGAGTGCGCATGCGAACTGCTGCTGGCGATCGGCTTCGTGCTGACACAAAGAGGAGTAGGAAGGGATTGAGGTGTCGCTTAAATTTCGGCTGTGAAATCCTACCGTCTTACCGCTTCGGTCTCAAAGTGCCCGGAAGTCCAAGGCTATACCATGGAAAACATGATTGCCGGCCAGTCTGCACTCACTTCTGCTCCTTGTTGCAAGACGGGATACGGTTTGGGACCTTTGGGTCTAGGATGACGGAGCTTCTCCAGATTGGGATGGTGAGTTAACGGTTTAGGAGTGCGTCAACGCTCAGGGCTTCGTTGTTGTGTGCAACCGACTCCAGCGAGTCTGAGTTCAGACCCTAAGCCGACACCCTGAGCTACGAAACACAGTGTCGAGGTCTGCGGCCGCTTGAAAGAGCTGATGAAGCGCGGCTTGCCTGCCACTGCTGGACATACCGAGGGGTCTTAGGAGGTAGGGTCTTTTTGAACAGCTAAGGAAAGCTCGAGAACGGCAAAGGCGCATACTGCAAGCGCGTGCCTGCGTTGGAATTGTGCACAGGGTTCTGCTTCCGTTACAGGGCACGCTACTTCGAAGGATGCATCGAAGTGTTCGGACGGAGAAAGTTCAGTGTCAATTAGTGTCGCACCTGGTGCGAAAGGAAGCAGACTGAAGCATTTCAACCTCCAAAATCTGGAGCCCCTATCCCGCATAATTAATACCGCTTGGTAGGGTTTGACTTCGCTGCCTAAGACAGGGAAGGAGCCACGAGCCACTCGTTCATGTCTGAGGTGCAATTCATGATCCAGGCCCGGATCTTTGCAGTGCCAGGGGCTTCTCTCGTTCCTTTATGTCTCGGGGGCTGTTTTGCTGGTGTTATGGTCATCGACGTTGAAGACGAGCGAGGTGATACCTAGACGCAGTTCTCGGTTCTCACGTGCCTTTATGCGCAGCTCTTGCAAAGGTCCGACTAGCTTCCAAAAAGACCGGATTGTCCTGGGAAGGATGTCCTTGACACACGCGCTGCTGGCTGGCAGAAGAAGGCCGATGCTGCCAGAGATTCTTAAAGGTGCAGTTCTTTCTGAAAGGCGTGATTTTGGAGTTTCACGTTTGCACGGCCTCTTGGGCTCGGTGAGCAAGACTTTCGATGAGATGGGCTCTGCGGGATTCTGGGATCCTCGTCAACCCGATCTGTTTGTCCGCTTACCCAGAGCTGCTTTCCGGAGGGAGCTTTGGTCCATGTGCACCGCGATAGTTCATAGCACTCTCATAATTCCTGATGACTCCCGGCTGAGATTAATCCCTCTACATTACTCTATACGAACCCAGGGTGTGCCAAGAGTGCACCAACACGAAGAGGGTCTCATGGTTCATGGCTCATAACGTTCAAGACGACAAGGCGGGGTGCCGCTCCCAGTTCCTAGGCTTTGAGCGGGTTCTGTGCGCGCTCATGGGACAACTCAGCTCGTTTGCATCCTCACGGCTCTTCAAAGCACACAAAGTAGTAGCGGCGTGTACACATCGCGGCTCCCGGAGCCCGCAAGACATGGGCCTCCAGCACAGAATGCTTCTTTGAAGCTTATCTCCACGGCTTCATCGTTTGGACTCCGGGTCGCTCTTGGCCGTCCTGGTGGCTTTCTCTTGGCGTGCTTGACTCCTTTCCACCCAAGGTGATCTGCGCTTCACTGTACGACAGCACACTCCATATGACCCTAATGATTGTGCAACTATGGCTGTGGTCGAGAGATACGCACTTCCCTTGAAGGTCTTCAAGGCCGCAGCAAAGACCAAGGAAGAGATCAGATTGGACCAGGCTTCCCTCCTCGAGTCTTCAGGGTTTCAGACTCTGGATCTACAGTACAGCTTTTGAGAGGACGATGTGGCCGTTCTAGTTGCAATGTAACTTCAATCCGTGCATACTAAGCTCTGCCACGCCATGTCGCGTAGCGACGGTACTAAATCCTACAACATTTGCCGCTTGCAATTGCACCGTTGAAGAGCCTCAGACTTGAAGTCGAAGTACTCGGCGACTGAGCTTTTAATGGTTGTCATTGGTGGTGGCTTGTAGCTTTCGATTCCGGAAGCACATGCTTTCGTTCGGATGTGGTCCTCTGGAGCGATAGTACTTCTCCAACACGGTCAGCCCCGGTGACCATCGCGCCAGGAGAAGGAGATGTCCGACAAAGCCAAGGGCAAGGAGCCCGTGGTGTTGCCATGTCCTTGGAGATAGAGTACATGCTTGGCAGATGCATTTCAATTGCGAAGGGGAGGAACAGCCAAAGGTCTGGCATGCCGTCCGCCCGACAAGCTTGACCCCAAATCCTGAAGCTTCGTTTAAGTTTAAGCCAGAGAGGCTTCTAATATAGGGGCCTGAATAATTAGAATAGGGTTTTGGGGCCCATTGTACTACATTATTCAAAATAGTATTGGTAATTATTGAGGTCCCCATAGTAAACCCGAAACCCTTACACCTTTTAAAGCTTAGTTCAAGTGGAGACTGCGCCCTAGCGCCTCCGCAACAAACCAACTTTACCTGCGGCCCAAGAACTATCAAACCCTAGTTGCTGAGTTCATAAGCCCCAAGAAGTGTACACTTTCAGTTTTATAGTGGGCAATATTCTCCCGAAAAGTGTAAAGTGTATCCACTCAGTTCTTACACAGAAGGCTATTTCAAGACTTACCATTGAAGGCTTCAAGCCTAAACCCTAAAACCAAGGAGTCCCGATGTCTGCTAGGGGTAGTACTGGACAAACGGCATCCCTAGTGCCGACATGCGTAGCCGTGGTCGTATTCGTGTCGTCGCCGCCGTAGCAAGCAGCCGTTGGCGTAGCCGTAGCAATAGCACCAGCACCAGCAACAGTAGTAGCCGTAGCCGTAGTCCTACGAGTAGCAGTAGCACTGGCAGTAGTAGCGTAGTAGTAGTACTAGTAGTAGTAGTAGTAGTAGTAGTAGTAGTAGTAGTAGCAGCAGCAGTAGTAGTAATAGCAGCAGCAGCAGCAGTAGCAGCAGCAGCAGCAGCAGCGGGGTAGTGGAAGGGAAGTATTGTTTGCTCCACTGCCTATCAGGGACGGTATCTACGAACGACTGTTCTGTTGTGAAGACTGTTAACCATCAATTCCCTCGAAAAGCACTGGCCCAACACTACAGGACGTGACGAAGGCAGAGTGTGTCGTTACAGGCCAGCGCCCGGTGCCTTGCCGTGCTACAAGTAGGGTGTTGCACTTAGCTTGAGGGCCTTTCTCTGTTGAGACACTGAAGGCTTAGGATTTGCAGATTCGGGGGGGGGGGGGGAAGGTGGGTGGTTCACGCTTTTGAGTCGGAATGAGCAGCACCAACTCGCAGACCCCCAGCCCTGGAGCCCCGACCCCCTGAAAACCTGGACGTGGGCACACCAAGTCCCACGTCTCAGTTCACATCGTCCCAGGAAGGCCGCAGAGGTGAGGTCTCTGTTTTTTAAGGACATACGAGGTCGTCATTGCAGGTGCAAACCCGGAGCTGCTCATGCAACAGAGAGGAATTGTCGATGGAAGTTCTTCTGGCTGGGCGTCCTCAGCTCAACATCCCAATCCAGAAACCACAAAGCTGGTCTGTTTGAGTTCGATTCGATGTCTTTACATCGGAGCAGGAGCTACCCACCCTGCTTGCGCCCTGCAGTTGTAAGGTTTGAAAAGCAAAGAAGAAAAGACTCTCGTAGTCCCTTCCCGAGCCTTGAGCCAAGGTGTACCTCTCGCAGGCTACCGGGGCGTAGCTTCACCAAAGCTCCTCGGCATGAGCTTTAGGAGAGGGAGAGGGACGGGCCGAAGAAGATGGAGAAAGCCTCCACAAACGCCTTTGCTGCCATCTCTGCTGTTTCGCCCAAATCTGTGAATCGCGCCCTTCCCCCGATCGCCCCTCGCCCTTGGCCCCCTCGTTTCGCTGCAGCTATCTTCAGGGGACTTGCGAAGGCAGTTTTGTCAGCCATGGAAGAGTAAGCAGTCTACAAGTGTCAGAGCAGGAATCTGGTAATCGATAAGTCAGGACGATTCACGAAGCTGATGATGAAGGCGGTGATGATGCGCATGACGACGAGAACTGTGCAGACCATGTTCTGGTTGTTGCTTTGCCGACACCGCTGATACTGCTGCAAGTGATGGTGACGATGATGGTGATGATGTTGATGACAATTGTGAGGATGATAGGTCGTTCGCAATAGTGGTGGTGACAGGGGATGAGGCGGGGGATGCGGCAGAAAAAGCGCGAAGCGATAATGCTGAAGCTGTTCATGATGTCTGTGGCGAGGATGGAATGATGATGATGATGATGAAGCCTCTCGGCCCGAGCGAGGTTGGAAACAGGTTTCGACATGAGCCATGCGGGCAGGGGCCGGCGATCAAGTCAGGAGCGAACTCCGGAGGACCATGGGTCGTCTTACGGTGCTGCTGCTACTCCACGCTTCTCTTATCGGAGCAGCCCCTTTCTACGAGGGCCTGGACCGCACGGACCACCCCCACCAAGGCCGGTGCTGGTGGAACCGGCAGCGAAAACCCGAGCAGACGAGGACCCATGCCGCAATGACTCCGGCGAAGATGACAGCTCGAGCTCTACACAGGACGACCTGGTCTCATTCGAGCCCGACAGCCAGGACGGTATCAGTGCCAGCTCCGAGTTCGACCTCATCCTACAGGGCGAGGACTTGGACAATGCCAAATCCCGACTGGGAGTGCTTCATCGTCAAGAGCTGGATGTCATCCACCCCCACGACTCCAAACGGCAGCGTGCGGGCCGCCTCTCCTGGTTCCAGAGGGATGTGGCGAACTGCACTTGGCAAGAACTTCTGGACAAAGCACGTGCCTATCTTACCAATGAAAGATATGCTGCCTGGGAAAACTGGTGTACGGCCTATGCCAGAGGCCACCGCGAGGCAGGACAGCGCAGAGAGTAAAGCATCAGGCTTTCATTCGTGGAAGCCGATCGGTGCTCGACCAGTGCCATGGCGACCGCGGCTACTGAGAGCCGCTGCTTTCCAGAGGCCCCAGCACCCCATCCTTAAGCGGAGACGACGAACTCCCCATTGGGTTTTAGACCTCCCTGCCCTAAGCCCGCACAGAGCCTGGCAAAGGCATCGTATGCCACCGCGTGGTGACCTGCACATGCCTGGGCCGCTGTCGGCCTGGCCTGCAGGACAGCAGTCACACTGCAGCATCGCCTCCCCTAGTAAGGCTCATAACCCACGTAGATCCCTACACCACCCGAAACCATCCCACCGACAATCGGAGGGTTCCAAGATCTCTGTAGGCCGTCCCGGTCCCAATGCCGGGAGCAGTAGATACCAGAAATTACTCATTTGGGTTTACATCCAAGCTACTGCAGGGGCGAGGGTTTCCTCCACAGCCGTGATGGAGGAGGGACCTGCTTCTCGTCTTCGAGTTGCAGGGAAGCCAAACGGCCAAGCGCAACAAGGCCGGGAACACACACACACATTCACACAGCTGTCAAACGATCCTTTCGCAGAGCATGCAAGCGAGCCTCTCAGTCAGTACAGGAAGGCACATGGTATAAGGGCAGATGGCACACCAGAGCTGACCTCAGCACTCTTCGCCTCAGCCCCAACCTCGCCGCCCCTCATGCTGCAAAGCCCAGGTCGACCCCGAGACCTCGGCTACGACCCTTCAGGCCAGAGCTCCATATCCGGATGCTGTGCTGGAATACCGGGGGACTTGCTTCACACATCAATCAGGAATTCCTAGCTTGGTGTGAAACCAGACCGGCCATAGAAGCTTATGATGTGATCATTCTTGTCGAGACACATTGGAGGGAGGTTCAGGATTACAGAAGTGGCCACTGGCTCTGCGTTCATAGCTCCGGTTACCAACCGGACAAGGCTCCAGACAAATATGCTGGCATACTTTGCCTTTTGTCCAGCCGTAGCTTCTCAGAGCCCAAGGTCAAAGAACATACCTCGTCAACCTTCGGACACTTTGGTCAATCCCCGCCTCAGCAGGACAGTCAAATCCGCCTCTTGAGCAAGATCGTGCTCAAACAGGAGGAACAATTGGCATTGCTTCGTCGGGACACCCAGTTCGTTCTGCTCATGCGGCAGGACGACAAGTCTCTTCTGCCGGCCCTGATGGCTGCAGCAAGGGAGTGGAAGGCCAAGCAGGAGTCGGGCGATCACAAGATGGACTCCTCGCAGAGAGCCGTGCTCCTCAACTGTCTTCTTCGAGAGCTTCTGGCTCGTGTTCAGAGGGTGGTTGCTACGGAACAGGGCAGAGCTTCCCTTGCGAAGGCAGAGTGGCTAAAGGACGACAAAGCCTGGGCTTATCTCAAGTGGGCTCCCAAGCAACGCCGACTCGTGGTCGACGAGAGCAGAACTCCACTGCTGCACGACGAGGCCGTTCGGGTGCTAGCCTCCCTCCAAAAGACGATCACAGGGGACATCGTGAAGAAGTTCAACAGCACGGTGAATCTGGCCAAGCTCGAAGACGAAGGATCGCAGCAGGCAGTGTTCCACCTTTCGGTATCGCTGCGTGGTTCGGGGGCGGACGAAGTTCACGAGCAGCTGACCAAGCTGGTGGGATCTTCCATCACAAATCTGGCAGCCTTCAGCATGAAGAAGGACGATCTCAGCCGGACCCCTCAGGTCAAACAGATGACCTACGGAGGAGGCCGTCCCACTCCACACCTCCCCCAGCTTCCGATAATACTTCGTCACATGACCTCATGCACGATCCTGCCTTCCCTAAGTTCACCCTGCGTAATCCCCATAATCACTGCTACCTAAATGCTTTCATTTACAGTGTAGCCATCTTGGAGCGGTGCACGGATCGCAGGGCACTTCCCTCCGTCTTTCGGGCCTCCTGTGACAGGTCACTAGATGCCTACACAGCAGCGGGGTTTAGCCTCCTGGGGTGGAGGAGGCCACATGAACAGCATGACATCGCTGAGTTCATAGATTTTATAGCTCCCAGATGGTGTGCTTTCTTGTTGCAGCACTCCTGGAGTGCCCGCAGTGAGCTCGATGAAGGTGGGTTTCAACAAGTGGACAGCGCTTGCCTAGCTCAATGCCTCTCCCTCAGCAACATAGCCCTAGACACCCCAGATGTGCAACGGCTCATAACCAGGTGGTACTCGCAAAATGCTCGCCATGCGATGACCAGTACAGCTCCTTGGCTCCACATTCAGTTGCCACGCGGCAGCGCTGCCGCCAACGGCCATCTGTGCAAGAATAATCATCCTATCATCATTCCGAGGGAGCTGTGGCTACCGGTGTTTGTATCGAACACCTCAATGGAGGTTCGGTGGCAGCCTTACTGCCTGCAAGCTTGCATCATTCACCTTGGTCTTAGCCTCAATTCAGGCCACTAAGTTGTTCTGAGAACGAATGGGGATAAATCTTACGTGCTAGATGATGCGAAAACAGCAGAGCGAGCCACCGCCCAGTTCCTTGAGGTTGCATCACGAAATGCATACATTCTTGCTCTCACCAAAGCAGACTCCGCTCCAGTGCAGCAGCTGCCAGCTCAAGCACTCGATCTCGGTCCGAATCCGGGGAATGGCGGAGTCGAACAACATATTCCTGCTACGCAAGTACGGAGACAACTGGACGGCAGCTCACCTCAGCTTGTTGGAGTTTCAACTGAAAGAATTGGAGGCCCAGATGATGGTCATGCAACGACATGTGGACAACATCCAAGCCCAGATGCACTCCCTCCAGCTCCTGGTGAATCGTCACAGCTATCTCTATGGAAACCGGATCGTGAACAAGACTCGAATCATGAAGGTCCGTCATCTTGATACTCTGGACGACTGAAGGCCTGAAGGAGGCCTAAGGACGGCGGATTCGAGACAGACCGTACACTGTGTAGAGCTGTTTTCTTAGGGCGCCACGGCGCCGTGTTCCCAACTGCCTTTAGGGCATCCGTGCCAGCCATTTTGATTGGCCGGTGAATGACATAAGCTCATCACTGAAAGGCGCTCGCTAGCTGGATTCAGAGACACATCTAGCTGCGGTGGAAGAAGATGATGATGATGAGGCTGCTGGTTCGGCGGTTAATGATGCTGATGACGGGATGAGGACGGCGCTCACGATGCAAAAAAGCTGAGAAAGATGAAGAATTGCGATGCTGATCGAGATGTTGATGGTAGTGGTGCTGCTGATTCTGTAGAGCTCGCAACTAAACTAAACAGTTACAAGTAGCAGCATCATTGCGGTCGTGATAGGCAATTGTGAATGAAGAGTGAGGAGAATCAGGGAAGAAACAGCAGGAAGAAGCGGAAGAAACATACGAAGTGGAAGCGGTCCCAACGATGATGATGGCCATGATTGTGGTGGTGATGATCATGACGGTGTCTGCCATGCGAGACGTTGGTGACTGTGATATCTCACCGGCCGCAACAGAACCAAAATCAGCATCAAACCTGTTCTCATTTGAGCGTGCGCCCTCTGAAATAGCTTCATTGCTCACCACCATCGTCATCAGCATCATTCGTCGTCTTCGATATCATCATGTCCTTCATCGTCATCGTCATCATCAACAACAACATCGTCATCGTATTGTCATTCCGCAGCTGGAGCAGCATCAGCTGTCAGCATCACATCACATATTCACAACCCTCACCCTTCTTGTTCGCATGGTCTTTGTACTTATGAGTTTGATTTATCAGCGCTGTCACTATTGCCATCTCTTCCGGCATCAGCATGCACATTAGCTTCTGCACCACCGCACTATCATCGCTGTCTTTTGTTGAGCTTCTTCACCACCATCGCCT